ATTAGAAATGTGAGGCCCCAGAGGGACCCCAAGGGGAACCTGCCCCTGTTCTGGAACATTCCCTCCCCCGGGGCTGTCCCTGCTCACCTGCACGAAGGTGACCTGGCTGTGCTCCCGTGCCAGCGCTGCCATCACCTCGTTCATCTGCGCGCACTGCGGAGCCCATGGCGCCCAGAAGTGCACCACCACCAGGGACCTGGGGAGAAACAGCACTCCTGGGGACAGCTGCCAAAAACACCTGGATCAGGGAACCCCTGGGCCTGGGAGAGGCCTCCAGCATCACCATCCAGGGGCCCGACAGCCACCTTGTCCCCAGAGCCCCGAGTGCCACCTCAGGAGTTCCTTGGACACTCCAGGGATGGGCTCTCCATAAAAACCCACAAATCCTCACCACCTGCTGCCCTAGAACACAGGGTGGGCAGAGCTCCAGAATACAGCAGGGATTGATTCAAAGGATCTCCTCCATGGATCCACCTTGGGCAGCACCAGAGCCCAGCCAGGGCTGCACCCAAGATGAACCAAAATGGCCCCAAAATGCACGGCCGGGCACGGGGTCTGTCCCTGGGATCAGTTCTGCTCCATTTGCACCTTGCAGTTCATTGTCCCATTCCAGCTTCAGCCCAGGCAGTCCCACCCTGCTTGTTTTTCTCTCTCCAGCCCACGGGGTTTGTGCTCCTGGGCTGAGATTTGGGTCATTTGTCCTTGGTGCCCAGCTGGAGCAGGAATTGTTTTGTGTCCCTGCTCTGTGCACAGAGCTCAGCATCCCTGATGTGAGCCCAGCCCCACACACTAAAGCAGCACAGAATGGGAAAATGGAAAAGCTAAACCTGAGGCATCACCTGAGATTAAAAACCCTTTAAAGCACACCAGGAGTTTTCCTTTCCCAGGAACATTCTGAGGCCATGCAGCACAAAGCCTGTCACACTGCAATGTTATTTTTCTGCTGGCATTAGCTCCAACTCCTTATTGCAGGTTTGCTGGGATGTTTGGGATTGGCTCCACACAGCATTTAAAGGTGTGACAGAAATCCCATCCCACTGGGTACCAGCTCCTATGGGCTGACAGCAGTGACAAGATATTGAAATTCTCAACTCCATTCTCCATCTTCGCAGAGGTCAAACCCACCAGAGAGAGGGAATAAGGAATTAAAGATTCAATGTACTGATATGAATTTACTTAGAAAAACAGAGAAATCAAGTCACCCATCCCACAGCAGCCACTTCATGTCTTTTATCCCTAAATAATGGAAATTCATTGTAAATTGTAGCAGCACAAGATCCCTGCTGGGATTGCTCAGGACAGGGCTGGGAGCAGCCTGGGACACTGCAAGGAGTCCCTGGATGGGCCTGCAGGTCCCAGACCAGCCTGGGGTTGTCGGGAAAGCAGAGCCCTGTCATTAATCACAGAGCACAAAACCAGATTAATGAGACCCTGGGCAGGAGAAGAATAATTCAGGGCCACTTCTGTGTCAATGAACATCCAAACAATGGTGTTCCCATTGAAATGGCACTGCTGTTCCCACTGCAATGTCACTGCTGATCCCATTGAAATGTCACTGCTGTTCCCACTGCAATGTCACTGCTGTTCCCACTGAAATTTCACCGCTGGTTTTGGTGACACTCCCGCGCCTGGAGGACAATCCCAGCTCTCAGGGCAGCTCTGGTTTATGGGATTTTCCAGCCGATTCGCCCGATTTGGCCCCAAATTCCCTGCGGCAGGAGCTGCTGTAGGGTGGCACCTCCGAGAGCCGAGCCTAAGCCTGGCCAAAGCCCGGCCTAAGCCCGGCCTAAACCGAGCCAAAGCCCGGCCTTTGCGCGGTTTGGGGCTCGGTTCGTCCCCATTTTGGGGTTTCTATCTTCTCCTCGCAGGTTTTACCGGGCTCTGCGGCAGCACCGGCCCCTCCCGAGCTGTGCCCCGCGGGGACCGGGAGGGGACACCGGGATGGCACCGAGGGACGGGACAAAGGGATGGGACCGAGGGAGGGGACACCGGGATGGCACCGAGGGAGGGGACACGGGGATGGGACACAAAGAGGGAACACCAGGATGGGGAACCCGGGCCGGCACCCACAGAGGTGACACCGGCACGGCCCCAACGGACGGCACCGAGGGCCGGCAGGCGGAGATGGCCCCATGGAGGAGACCGAGGGACGGCACGGCGGGACGGCAGCCCCGGTAAGGGACACAGACACAGGCACGGGCCCATCCCCCCCTCTCCCGCGGTGTCCCCTCACCGGTCCGGGCGCTGCAGCAGCTTCTGGAACTGCTCCACGGAGCCCGCGGCCGCCACCGCGCCCGCCATGGCCGGGCCCAGCCAGGGACACGTGGGGTCAGCGCCGGTCACGTGGCGGCAACCGCGGGTCACGTGCGCCCGCCCTGGGCACGCGCTTCCGCCTGCCTCACGTGGCCCGCCCGTGTCACGTGTCCTTCCCGCCTCACGTAGCTTTCCCGTGTCACGTGTCCCGCCTGTGTCACGTGCTCTCCGCGTGTCACGTGTCCCCCGTGCCGGCAGTGCCGTTCCGATTGTTAAAAACGGGTTAAAAACTGTTGTGAAATAGTTGGTAATTGTGAAAAATGCGTATGTTATGATTGGCTTTTGGCAGATATTCAAATGAATATTGTATGTGTTGTGTTAGGAAGTGATGCTGTGTTAATTTCCTTAAGTACTGTGTTAAATATAGTTTTAGGTTATAACAAAATGTTAAAATAGGAACTATGCTACGTAAGATACTTTTTTAAAGAAAGGACTCGCAGTGAGCTAGCAGCCACAGGACACCTGAATCTTTCAGAGAAAGAGAATTTATTGCTCCCTATCAGAAGAAATGAACTTCTTCCTGCCTCGAAGGCGCTGTCAGGATTCAGAGGAAGGAGCTGACACTGCCCAGCCAGAATCCTGTGTTTGGATGGAATTCATGCATCATGGATGAGGTGTATGAATATGCAACAGGCTGTGGTTTTTAAGGGTTAATCCTCTGTTAACGTAGGGCCTTTTTCGGGCTCGTGCTGCCCAGAAAAGGTACCTGTACGTCCATAACTCTTTGTTTCTATTGTCTCATATTATCCTAATCCTAATTGTCCAAAATGTTTCTTACTCTAATTACACAGCCCCTCCCCACCCTGCCAGGGAACAGTTCCTAATTCCCAATATCCCATCCATCCCTGAGGCTAATCCCGGGAATTCCACAAACAATCCTATTTTCCAGCGGGAAACCCTTTTGCCCCTGGAGTTCTCCACCCCACAGAGTTTTGCTGTGGCCATTCCCTCTGTGTCCCAGCTTTCCATGGACAATTCCATGGAATCCCTGCTGCTGCACTGGCTCCTGGGTTTGGGGCTCTTCTTTGGTGTTCCTGTCCCACAAAAGGACAGGCGAGTTCCCGGTGAGTTCCCAACAAGCAGGGTGGGTTTGGGCTGTGAGGGAACTCAGCAGAGGGAATCCCCAGGCTCTGGGGCAGGCATTACGGGGTGGATGCCCACGCTCCGTGCCACGGTTCCGCTCCGAGTGGGACAGATGGAACCCCTGGCAAGAAATCTGTTCCCTCTGTGTAAATCAGAGCTGAGCCCTGAGAGAGCTCCCCGAGACCTCTGCAGGCTCCTTGGGAAGGGAGAGGCGGGAACGCTGCTCCAGATGGATCGGGATAGACCCAGGGAGCCAGGGGAGAGCTAAAGCTGCCTCTGATCCAGCTGTAATTCTGGGAGCCCAGATGGAGCCTGGCAGGAACATCGCAGGGAAGCTGCAAGGACTCGGCGTGGGGCAGCCTGGGTGGTGCTCACAGGGTCCAGGGTGAGGGAGGAGATGAGGATCTGACCCCACGTTTCAGACGGCTGGTTTATTAATTTATGATACATAATATTAAAAAAACCCTATACTAATAATATAAACACATTATTATATATTTATATAAAATTATGTACCATATATAAAACTATAATAATATTATAATATATAAATAAACACAATAAACAATATATAAAATAATGTATTTTTAATGTTATAATTTAATATCATTACATTAAATATTTAATGTATTTATTATTTAACTTTTCATAATATGTATTTATTATTATATATTTTATTATATATAATATTAAAAACTATACTAATAATATTAAAATAATGAAATATCAATATATTGTATAGAAATAAAAATATATCATATTTTTATATAAAATATATATATGAAACTGTAATAATATATAAATATAATAATTAATATATAGAATAAATACATATAATAAATAATATATAGAACTATAATAATAATATTTCACAAAACTATACTAAAAGAATAGAAGGATTTCATCAGAAGGCTTGAAAGCAAAGGAAAGAATGGAATGATGATAAAATCTTGTGACCAGTGAGTCCGAGCCAGCTGGCTGTGATTGGCCATTAATTAGAAACAAGCACATGAGACCAATCCCAGCTGCACCTGTTGCATCCCACAGCAGCAGATAACCATTGTTTGCATTTTGTTCCCGAGGCCTCTCAGGAGGAAGCACCCTAAGGAAAGGATTTTCCATAGGAGATGTGTGTGCCAACAGGCAGGGGTCAGGTGTGCCCGTGCCGAGATCCGGACGGGGCCGGGCTCAGCGCTGCGCCATGGACGGGCAGCGGCCGCCATCGGCCCGGCTCGTGTCGGAACCGGCACCGCAACCCCGGCCGGGCCGGGGGTGGATCCGGGAATGGATCCCGGGGCGGATCCCGGTTCCAGGGGCGGATCCCGGATCCCGGGGCGGATCCCGGGGCGGTGCCGGTGCCAGGGGGAGGTTCCGGGGGTGGATCCCGGGGCGGTACCGGGGGGCGGATCCCGGGGCGGTGCCGGTGCCAGGGGGAGGTTCCGGGGGTGGATCCCGGGGCGGTACCGGGGGGCGGATCCCGGGGCGGTGCCGGTGCCAGGGGGAGGTTCCGGGGGTGGATCCCGGGGCGGTACCGGGGAGCGGATCCCGGGGCGGTGCCGGTGCCAGGGGGAGGTTCCGGGGGTGGATCCCGGGGCGGTGCCGGTGCCGCCATGGCCGCGGTGCCCGTGCGGGGCCGGCGTGCGGCGCTCGGGCCGGGGGCAGCCGGGGAGCCGGAATGTGTGAGTCGGGAACGGGGATGGGAATCGGGAACGGAACCGGGACCGGGTATCGGGCAGAGGCTGGGGCAGGGCCCGGTGCCGGTCCTGGTCCCGTCGCCGTCCGGGCCGTGTCGCGACTGTCGCGGGCGGTGCCGGCTCGGGAGCGGGCACGGCCGGGCCGGGGACTGAGCTCAACAGGCTTCGGGGTTTTGCTTTTTCTCCTGATTTTCCGTTCTTTCTTTTGCCGCGTTTTCTCTTTCCCTTTTTATTCCCCCCTCCTTTTTTTTAAATGTCTTTTCCCCTTTCTTCCTTTTCCTTTTTTTCCTGTTGAATTTCTTGGTTTTTCCTTTTTTCCTTTTGAATTTCTCGTTTTTCCCTTTCTTCCTTTTCCTTTATTCCTTTTTAATTACTGTTTCTCCTTTTCCTTTCCCTTTTTTATTTTTCCTTTTTTCTTTTCACTTATTTTCCCTCTCTTTCCTTCCCATTTTTTTTCCTTTCCCCCCCTTTGGGTTTTGGGTTTTTTTCCTTTTTATCTTCCCAGTACTTTTCCTTTTTTTTCCTTTTTTTCTGATCCTATTTTGGTTTTCCCTAACTTACTCCAGCTTTAAATTCTGTTTCTGTGCTTCAGCAGTCTGTTAGTTCTGTACCAGCACACCATCTTCCTGGAGGAAGAGATTGGGATTCCTTAAACAAAGTTTGGGGAAGAGCAAATCCCCTCTCCAGGGGTGTTCCCGTCACTGGGATCACTTCTCCTTCTGCTTCCTGGGTGTAATCACTCCTTTAACACAATTCCTTGGATCAGCACCATGCCAAGTCCTGCTGGGGTGGAGGCTCAGGGATGCCTTTGCCAGGGATTGCATGGGACTGGGGCACAGAGAGGTGTGAGGTGCAGAATTCCTGCCAGGTACAGAATATCTGCTCTTTGTGGGGCACACAGAGAGGTGTGAGGTACAGAGTTCCTGCTCTTTTTGGGGCACACAGAGGTGTGAGACACAGAATTCCTGCTCTCAGGGGCACAGAGGGGTGTGAGGTACAGAATTCCTGCTCTTTGTGGGGCACACTGAGGTGTGAGACACAGAATTCCTGCCAGGTACAGAATTCCTGCTCCCAGGGGCACAGAGAGGTGTGAGACAGAATTCCTGGTCATAGGGACACGGAATTCCTGCTCTCCCTGCACCCAAACCTTGCGGTTCTGCCCTAATGCCCTGTCACCCTGGTTTTTTAAGATTTTCTCAGCTTTCTGATGGTGACATTCTTGTAGTGAACTTTCTCACACACTTTCTGTAGATAACTCATTGTTCTGCATTCTTTTATGGAGGAGAAATCTGATGGCCCGTTGGTTTGTCCAGCGTCACTGGAGAGGTGGCACTGTCACCCTCCAATCCAGGGTCACTTTTGGGCATCTATAAATGTCGGAGTCAGAAAATAAACTTCCCTTTTCTTCACCGTGAGAGCAGCAGTGCGCGCTTGTGTTCTTTCATGTCCTGTAGGGACAATGCCCCGTTGTTCTCCGGGTGCTCTCCCCAGTGTTTGTGTGACCCCAGGGAGGCGCAGGCAGGAACATCCCCGGGACGTGCAGCCTGTGCTGCTCAGAGCTGTCAGTGCTGCCTTTGCTGTTGCAGAAGCGGCGGTGCAGGCTGCTGGACACCGTCCCAGGGCAGGCTGCTGCCCAGCTCGGGGACTGTGCCATGGACCTGGAGCCCAGGCAGAAACTCCTCCCTGACTCTGCTCCCTGGGCTGCAAAGGCGAAGCAGAATTCCGTGGTGAGTACCCACTGCCCATGGGTTGGCTACAAAATAATTTCTCAGGTACATTTTATCATAAAGCTGCAAGTAATTGCCCTCTTTTTCCCTTTTCCCTTTCCTTTTTCCCTTTCCTTTTTCCCTTTCCTTTTTCCCTTTCCTTTTTCCCTTTCCCCTTTCCCCTTTCCCCTTTTCCCCTCCCTTCATTTTGATGAATTTGTGTCTGTTTCTGTTCCTCAGGTTTTGGAAAACCATGGGAGCAAAGGCATTTCCCAGCCCTGCCCAAGATGTGTGGCTGGAGAATCTGTAAGTGTGGGAATCTGCTTTTTTGGGGCAAAAATGACTGGGGCTTGTTCCCCATTAAAACATGAAGTTAATAACCTCCACAATTGCATTGCTTGGGAATAAAGTGTGGAAGTTAAAAATAAAGGAGATGGGTTTAGCATTTCAGCAGAGCACAAATTAATATTTCCAGCAGCAGTTGGAAAATCTGGAAATTCTCAACACATTTTTCAAATTCTCTCTGAAAAGCAGAATTTGGGCAGTAACTGAAAGAAACAATAACATAGCACTTCCCCTACCCAGTTTTACTTGTCCTTGATTTACTGGATCATAACAAAATACTCAGGAATCTCATTCTATCTCCTTTTTTGTTTTTTGTAATTGGATATTTCCTTTCTGAGGAATAGATAAAGTATTGAAAATATTGCTCCTTCCAGAGCCAAAATGAGGAAATGCTGGATGTTCATAGCAAAATCTCTGATTTATGGAATTAAAGGCAAAGTTTCCATCAAAGTTTCCATCAGGAGCTGTGACTGAGCAGACACTGATCGTGTTAGTTCATTTCCATTCATTTCTAGAGGAAAAAAAGGGAATATTTGTGGTGGTGCTCAGCGATTTCAAATAAAATTTGAAAACGAAGAGCGAGGAAAAGCCTTTCTGCCAAGCTCCTGTGTCGTGACCTGAGGTTTTCTCATTGCAGGGCCACTTCAGTCACATCCTGGGCTCCTAGAACAGGAGAGGAGCAGCTCTGGTTTCTGCTGGGATCCCCAGGGTGCAGCTGCTGCTGGGTCCCGCCTGCCTCAGCACCCCGCCCTGGGCACCATCCCTGCACCTGCACCCCTGCCCAAAAGCCTCTGCTCCTCAGGGAACTCAGGATTGTCCATAAAGGACAAGGAAAGGATTATTTCATGTTTTGGTAACTCAGGATTGTCCAAAAAGGACAAGGAAAGGATTATTTCATGTTTTGGTAACTCAGAATTGTCCATAAAGGACAAGGAAAGCTGATTTCATGTTTTGGTAACTCAGAATTGTCCAAAAAGGACAAGGAAAGGATTATTTCATGTTTTGGTAACTCAGAATTGTCCATAAAGGACAAGGAAAGGATTATTTCATGTTTTGGTAACTCAGAATTGTCCATAAAGGACAAGGAAAGGATTATTTCATGTTTAGGTAACTCAGAATTTGTCTAAAAAGGACAAGGAAAGCTGATTTCATGTTTAGGTAACTCAGAATTGTCCATAAAGGACAAGGAAAGGATTATTTCACGTTTAGGTAACTCAGAATTTGTCCATAAAGGACAAGGAAAGCTGATTTCATGTTTAGGTAACTCAGAATTGTCCAAAAAGGACAAGGAAAGGATTATTTCATGTTTTGGTAACTCAGACTTTGTCTAAAAAGGACAATGAAAAGCTGATTTCATGTTTAGGTAGTTCAGAATTTGTTTTAAAGGAACAAAAAATGGCTGATTTCATATTTAGCTCAGAATTTGCTTTAAAAGGAAAGGCAGGTTTCATGTTTTTGGAATTTGTCTAAAAAGGACAAGGAAAGGCAGATTTCAGGTTTAGCTCAGTATTTGTTCATAAAGGACAAGGAAAAGCTGATTTCATGTTTAGGTAGCTCAGAATTCATTTTAAAAGGACAAAAAAAGGCAGATTTCATGTTTAGCCTCAGAATTTGTTTTAAAAGGACAAAAAAAGGCAGATTTCATATTTAGCTCAGAATTTGTTTTAAAAAGACAGGAAAAGGCTGATTTCATGTTTCGCTCAGAATTCATTTTAAAAGGATAAAAAAAGGCAAATTTCATGTTTAGCTCAGAATTTGTTTTAAAAGGACAAGGAATGGAAGATTTCATGTTTAGGTGGTTTAGAATTGTCTAAAAAGGACAAGAAAAGGCTGATTTCATGTTTAGGTAGTGCAGAATTTGTTTTGAAAGGAAAAGGAAAGGCTGATTTCATGTTTAGCTCAGAATTTGTTTTAAAAGGAAAAGGAAAGGCAGATTTCATGTTTGGCTCAGAATTCATTTTAAAAGGATTAAAAAAAAGGCAAATTTCATGTTTAGCTCAGAATTTGTTTTAAAAAGACAAGAAAAGGCTGATTTCATGTTTAGGTAGCTTGGAATTTGTTTTAGAAGGACAAGAAAGGGCTAATTTAATGTTTTACATTGATTAAGTTGAGCTGGCTGTGGGCCCAGGCTTCCCCTGGGGCTGGGCCAGAGCTTGTGTTGATTCCAAAGGTTTTCCCAACAGCCCTGACCCCCTTGGAAAAGCTCTTTTGGAAAATCCTCCTTGTGCAGGGCCACAGGCAGCAATGGGAGGACACAAATTTTCATTTTTCAGTGGCTTTGCAGCTGTGAAGTCCAGGAAAAATCCCATTGAAGCTTACCTTTAAATCCCAAAAAAATCTGTTTAAAAAGGCTTGACCTCGCCACCCAGCAGGCTTTTACTGGCACAAATCTAAGGACAGGTTAATTAACCTCTGAAAGGTTAATTTTGGGGTTATCAGGTTGCAAAATCCTCAGGCAAATGTTTTTTGCAGTCCTTGAATCCTTCCCATGTTGTGTGTGGAGTTGGAGTCAGCACTGAGTTGAGATATTCTCATTAAATAAATTAATATCACATAAATACTGAGTTTAATTAAGTAATACACGAGGTTATAAATCTAAAAGCAGACCTGCACTTAATTAGCATTCAGATTATGGTTTAAAAAATAAGTTTTCTCCAAGCCAATAAAAATTTTAGTTAAATTAAGAATAAATAATTTCAAGTTATTTGCATACTTGATCTGGGGGTCAGAATTTGTGGGGAATTCATTTTTACATCCCCCACCCTTGTCTTTTAAAAATCCTGGTAATCAAAGCAGTATTTTAAAAAACAAAGTGGATAAACAGCAGTTTCTATGCAGCAAAAGCTGAAATATGTGATTAAATGTAAAGGGCTAGAAGGTTTAGATCCTGCAAAATCACTCAAAACCTCGAGTGTGACAAGTCATGATTAGGACTGGTCAAAATTTGGTCAAATATGGTCAAAATTTCAGGTGTTCAAAGAAGGAAATACCAAAACTGGACTCAGAGTCTGTGATGGAAGAGTTTCCTGCCAGAATACATCAGGCAAAAGTATGGGCTCAGGTTTAAAACACAGGGAGAACGTGGATTATCAAAGCAAAAAGTGGTTTTGCCTGAAATAACTCCCATTTTATCGTGTTCAGGAGTTCACAGATACCTGTGTCAACATTTCCTCTGTTTGCTTTACACCTGGATCTGGGGTGAAACCAGGAGCCAGCTGGTTCCTTCCTGGTTTTCCCTCTGCTCCTGCTGGGGTTTGTGGCAAGAATTTAAAATCCTTTTACATTCTCCTGCTTTTCCAGCGTTTGTTGGAAGTGTCATGGTGAATCCCAGGGCTGGCTGCAGCAGAATTTTAATGGAGTCTTTTGGAACTTTTATTTTATAACCAGAATATGGATGCATATTTAGTGCAGGTCTGCTTTTAGATTTATTTCCTCACGTGTTACATGAGCAACTCGGTATTTGTGTGCTGCTCATTTATTTAATGAGGATTGCCCATTGTTTGTGGCAAGAATTTAAAATCCTTGTTTGGCATTTAAAATGCCAATGTTTGTGGCAAAAATTTCAAAATTTTGACTAAATATAGTCAACATTTCACGCCTGAAATTTTGACTATATTTACCCAATTTTCGAGCAGTCCTAATCATTATTTGTCACACTTGAGTGATTTGGCAGGAGCTAAACCCTTTCAGCCCTTTACATTTCCTCTCAGATGTGATTCCTGGCTCCCTGTTTTCCAACAGGGCAAGGAGTGCTTTTTTTTAATCAGTCAGCAAATTGGAGTTTAATTGTCTGCTCCACTGAAGGCTTTTAATAGTGATATTTTTTTAAAAAGATGTGTTTGTAATTTATTTTGGGATTTTCCAGGATCATTAAGCTGGCACAGGCTGGGGCAGTGAATATTCCTGTAAAGCAGATTTGTGTCAAATCTGCAGTGGAACCACAGAGTTATTTTTGTATGCCTTGTAGAACTCTGAAATTTTGTTTTCTTGATGAAAAAAAAAAAAAATTTTCTATTTCCTGCTGCTGTGGTTTGTACAAAGCATAACCAGTGATGCTTTATTTACCTGTATATAGAGAGAAAGGCCCCTGGCCTGTTTTTAATTCAGTTTTAAAGGATCTAATTCTTATTTTTAACTTTGTATTTTGTAAATTGTTCCTTACAAAAGCAGAAGCATTAAACACCACTTTGGCTGCAGCATAAAATTGTCTGGTTGTGTCATTCCATGAGTGATTTCTGAGGAATAAAGGTAAATAAAACCTCTGATGAGGAGAATAAATATATTATCATGAGAATAATAAGAATGAGGAGAAAAAATATATTATTTGTGTCATGTAAAATCTTTGTAGTAGGTTTAGGTGCTGACTTCATTAATTTGATGGTAATTACAGGTCCACTTGGCATCTTGACTGCCAAAAGAAGATGGAAAATCAAAATATTGGGATAAGTGGGGTTTAAAGGCAACCTGGATCTGACAAGCCAAGACTTGAAATAAATACAGTTAATATATTTAAATATATATAGAGAGAGAGTTTTAGATATATATATAGTTAACTGTATATATGTATATATAGTTAACTGTGTCTATACATATATATATATATACATATACACAGTTAATATATTTATTTTTGTTTATTTTAGGTGCTATAATTTATTGACTAGATTTCAAATCCATGGTGTTTATGTCTAAATTAGTTGCTTAAATCCTCAGCCCTCTCCTGGGAGCGTGGTGTGATACCTGATTCAGAGTCCCACATAAATAACTCTGCCTTTGCCTTGATTGCTGCAGGTAATTATCAATTAACACTCCCACTGGGCGTTTCCTCCCACACCCAACTTGCTCCCAGGTCCCTGTGTGTCCATTCTGGGGCTCTGAGCAGGACCAGGGCTGGGGCTTTGGGCAGAGGAATTTTCCTGGGGATTCCTGCAGGGGCAGGAATTGTCATTCCCAGGGGTGCCCAGGGGCTTGGCCAGGGCTCCAGCAGCTCCCCCAGCCTGGGGACAGCAGGGCTCAGCCATTCCTCTCCCCTCCTGAGCTGTTCCCAGCTCTCCTCAAGGAAGCAAATGAAGCAGTGGCCGCAATGTTTAAAAACACAGAAAAACAAAAAATGCCAAGAAGATGCAACAGAGTCGCAGAATTGCTCAGGTTGGAAAAGCTCTGAGCCCATCAAATCCAACCCTTCCCAGCCCTGCCCAGGCCACCACTGTCCATGTCCCCAGGTGCCACCTGCACAGGGCTGTTAAACCCTCCAGGGATGGGCACTCCAGCCCTTTCCAGAAGGAATTTTCCCAAGATCCATCCTGAACCTCCCCTGGCACAGCTTGAGGCCGTTTCTTGTCACAGAATTCCAGCCTGGTTTGGGTTGGAAGGACCTCACAGTTCATCTTTTTCCACCCCTGCCATGGCAGGGACACCTCCCACTGTCCCAGGTGCTCCAGCCCCAATGTCCAGCCTGGCCTTGGGCACTGCCAGGGATCCAGGGGCAACCACAGCTGCTCTGGGCACCTGTGCCAGGGCTGCCCACCCTGCAGGGAACAATTCCCAATTCCCAATCTCCCATCCATCCCTGCCAGGGAACAATTCCCAATTCCCAATATCCCATCCCGCCCTGCCAGGGAACAATTCCCAATCTCCCATCCAGCCCTGCCAGGGAACAATTCCCAATTCCCAATATCCCATCCCACCCTGCCAGGGAACAATTCCCAATTCCCAATATCCCATCCAGCCCTGCCAGGGAA